ATTGCAAGAACATGGAAACAGCCCAAAATGTCCAACCACAAATGAATGGATTGAGAAATTATGGTACCTTCACACAATGGAATAAGTTATTACCTAACTTGGGAGGGACCGGAGAGTATTATGCTGAGTGAACTAACTCAGTCCCACAAAGACAAATACTGTATAAAACCATTATTGTAGAATGAGTATAAGGATCCAAGTGGGGTGGAGGAGGGTGGAAGCAGAGGGATGAGGATGTGCAGGAGGTAGGGGGATTAACCATGGGGTTGTACAATTTGATGGGGGGTTTGAGGGAAACTGGAAGAATCTGTTCTTAAAAAAAATGTATTCAAATTTTGTAAATAAACTAGTATTAAATAAAAAAAGAAGTAGTCTTAAAAAAAATTGTACAAAATGAGAAGTGAAGGTTGACCAGTATAAGGAAGCAAATGACCAGGACAGGCCACCACAAGATAAAAACAGTCCATGACCATGATACGCTGATTCAATGATCAGCTCTCTGGGATCAAAAGGGACATACTTGTAAGAATTTATTAAAAATTTACTGAAGTTTAAAAAAAGTAAGTTAAAATCATAACAATGTAAACCTATTAGAAGAGGAGCACTCCAGTGGTCCAGTGGGTAAGGAGTTGTACTGCCAACCATAAGGCAGAAGGTTCAAAACCCAGCTTAGGAGAAAGATGCATGACTTCCTCTCACATGATTTACAGTCTCTGAAAATCCACAGAAGGGTCAGTTATGAGTATGTTCTGCCTAATCAGCAAATAATCACAATAATAGGAGAAGATCTGAGCTCTGTGAGCATAGCTCATAGTAAGTTGTGCTGCTAACCCAAAGGCCACATTTTAGCGGTCCAAATTCACTGGTAACTCATCAGAAGGAAGAAGGGCAGTCTGCTCTGATTGTAATATACAGCCTTGGAAACTCGAGGAAAGATCACTATGAGTCAGACCTAACTTAGTGACAGTGAGTTTTGAGTTTTTTGACTACAAGAAAAAGTAACTTTATATCTTCCACTTGCCTCACCTTTAAATAATAAAATACCTATTTCAAAATCTTTAAAAAAGGGATCCACGACCAAGGATTAAGTGAACATAATCTATTTTATTACCAAAACATTAAATTTTGACACATTGCTTTATTCACTTTCTAAAAAGCTATTATCTGACTTAAACCTGTTCAGCAAAAATGTTAATAAATTATATCAATCACACCGTGGGTCTGTTTAAAACTAAGAACATGTTTTATGATAAACAATGCTAAATCTGAGCGGTATGAACTGTCAATGTGTCATTTTTTCACGATGTTCAGCTTAAAATGAAAACAAAACTAACCACATGCTAATACACTTTTGAAAGGTTCTCAAAAACTCTCCACATCATCCACATCCCTGTGTGTTACCATCCATCTGTTTCTTCACTGAGGTACAGAATGCAGCCACGTCGGGTGAGTCAAGGCACTCGTCCTACACTGTCCAAGCCCGCCCACATTAGGAGTCATATCCAGAGGAGGGGTGATAAAGAGACATTGCCCCAACCTTGTTCACTTGCCTTTTATGTAATCCCTGTTCTTCAAAAACGAAATCATCAGCTAAGAAGTCCATAGCTGATTTTAAGAACAGTGATTCTAAGTCAATGCACATTAAACA